ATATAATAAACTGTAATATATAAAATCAAAATTGTAAAATAATAAAGTAACATAAAATAATAAAATAATATATATATTTTTAATATAAATATATAAAATAAAACAAAATTAATAAAATATAAATATATAATTAATTGATTTGATGTTTATGACGAAAAATGATTGACACAATTTTCAAAACAATCAACACCCCCTATTAAGGGGTGCCATTAGCACTCCCCAAGGTTTAATGCGTGCATCAAATGAGAGTATTTGAAGGACATCCCCAAATCATTGTGACCCAACACCTTCAAAACTTCTGACATTCACCATACTTTAGAAAACATCGGACATCAACATCAATTACAAGACATGTGATGTGACTGACACACAAACATGTATAGAGTAGTAGGTTATGTTAAAAATCCATGTTTTTGTTAAAGAATAGGGAGATTGTTCATAACAGAACATATGACATATTCATGAGGAATATAGACGTTATTTATCATGAATGTGTGATTTATGATGAATAATGCGTTCATATTCATCGGAAATATGTTGTTCATAATGAACATTCATCCTGAAGAAGAACACGTAGCGCGTTGTGGACTGGACTCGGGTTTTCACCGAACTCCTCCTCCCTCTCTATATATGTGTGTATGACTTTAATTTAAAAGTTACATATGTCCTTATAATCATAGATTTATTGTTAGAAAAATGTAATTGTTGTTATTATTATTATTATAAGTGTAGATTGAAATAAGCAAAAATTGTATCAAAATGGAATCAATTTTGGGAACAAATTTTAAAAGCCTTCAATTTAATTCAAAACAAATTTTTTGTTTATTTAAGAGTTTGGTTTACAGGATCACCTACTAATGATGACATATCTCGGGTAAAGGCCAACTAATATGCCATGTCATATTATATAATTCCATATCATGTTATAAAATTTAAAATATCAAATACTTAAAACAATAATAAAATAATTAAAGCTAATTAATACACAAACATGTGTAATATTAGAAGGGGACTCGTGCAATGCAGCAAAATAAATCTCGATTTTAATGTTTAGTTTTTATGCTTTGTCTTTATTGATATAATACGATTTTATGCGGTTTTGAGAAAATGATAATATTTTTATTTTTGAATGAAATATATATTTAAAAAATAACATAAAATTTTGAAAAAGATAAATCGATATTTGTATTAAATAACTATATTTGTATTAAATAACTATTTAATATTTCTCGTTTTTTG